GCGACGGTGGGGGGGGGAGGGGGAGGGGTATGATGATGTGATGCTGGTAAGCATTGCAGCTTGCGAGCAATCGTGGTGCTATCGTCAACGATGTGAGGTGAGCAAAATCGCCTCACCGGCAGTAGAGGCAACGATGAGAGCAACTACAAACGTGTCAAGCGAAATCAAGACACTCGCCCACGTTCCAGCTGTTGTAGTCTGACTTGCCAAGCAACTGGTGATGGTAACAGAGATACATCAGCAGCCTTGCAAGAGGAACGGTTTGGCTTGCAAATAATACCACAAACCCGCCGACAGTTGATCATGCGCTTGCAGCCAACACCACCCCCCTCTTCCGCCCACACCTCTGCATCTGTTTCTCATCGCCTCCCTCTGCTCCCTCCACTACCTCGATGATGCGATGGGGAAGCCATTGATGTGCACAGCGCCACCATCTGTGTCTCTATCCCGCCGCTAGATGCCATCGATCTCTTTCAACGCCACCTTCTCACTGCCACAGATGCCCACCATGTTGGTGATCGCGAGCACATCATGATCACATCGCTCTGGTGCCACTGTGCTGGCTATGGCTGATCTGATGTGCTGATGTCGTCCACGATGACTCGCCCATGTGCAGACAGCAATGCACACTGATCGCATTCGCCAGCCTACCGACGGCCAGCGTCGGGCACCCGGGCCGGGCGGACTCCTGTCAGCTGCCACGGCTGGAGGGGTCAGCTGGGGTAGAAGGCCACCACTGCACTCTGAGAGAGTGTTCTCTGGCGGAGATGCAGGTATCTGACGATGTTACCCTCGGCCTCTCCTTCCTTGGCTCTAACATGATCACAGACGACGGGACAACCGCCCTTGTCCAGGCTGCCTTTGCCGTCCTCACCAAGAAGCTGGACGAGTCGGCCATCTACGGTACAACCTCCACAGACTCACCCACAGCACCCACATTCCTGCCACACATACCATGTCATTCTCCACACAATTCTCTATCTTCCCATACCCCCTACATACACTGTAACCCCTTTACGTACTCACACCAACCGGCTCGCCCCCCCCCCCCCCCCTCCCGCCTCCCACGTCCGCCTCGTGACCGCCCGCCTCCCCGACCAACACGCTGGAATCGGACTGCGTATCAACAGGCTCGGCTGCGCTGGGAGAGGTCGACCCTGCGGCACTCAAGCAGATGTACCACGCCCTGACGGCGGTGATTCTCGAGGGTGCCAAGCGCAATCTCGATGCTGACGTCGCATGCGCACCGCTGGAGGAGGCGGGCGTGCCTGAGGCGCGCATTAACGCCTTCTCCACACTCTACGGCAAGTGCCTCGGCATGCTCCGCGAGATCTTGTTCTCGGCCGGCTTCAACTACCCGCACGTTGTCGACGCCCAGTGGCGCCTCGACTACGTGATCAAGGACTCGAACCTCGAGAAAATCGACGAGATCCACTACGCCGTCGCCCTCATCACCGAGAACGGCGGCGACTTTGAGGACGAGCTCCTCGCCGGTAACCCGGCCACTCTTGACGGTATCGTCAAGCTCGGCTCCGAAGCCTCCTCCTCCCACGTCGGCAACGGCACCGGCCGCAAGGTCGAGTTCACCTGCTCCCGCGAGCAGCTCGAAGACCTCGTCATCACCCTCCGTGATGCCACCAAGCAGATGGAGCGCATCATCGAGGACGAGTAACACCTCCTCCCCACCCCCCTTCTCCATACCCCCCTTCCCGCCCCTCCACACCACCACTAAAAAATTTAGGCTCTGCGCCCCCCCACCCCCCCTCCCCTCCTTGCCCAACCATCGGTAGAAACGTCCACCCCGACAAAGCGACTCGCCGGCCACCCGCCGACTGGCCCGGCCCACCCCTCTCCACCTCCCCACCCCACCCCCCCCACACACCAGAGTCATGACCCGTGACTCTGAGCTCCTCACCCTCGTGGTGCAGTATCTGGAGGAGCTTGGGCTCACCTCTTCCGCAAGACATGTGGCTGACTCGGCTGCTGCTGCCCGCCTCCTCACCGCTGGTCGGAGCTGGACTGGCGAGGGCATACCACTGACTGTGCCTTCTCCGTCATCATCATCACCATCATCATCACATACCAATGCTATGGACATTGTCTCTGCCAGCTCGAACGCTCCTCGTATCGCTCCTCGCCTCGCCCCGCTCCTTCCAAAGGGCCGCCTCGTCGCTATGGCTGACGCCGTCCTCGCTGCGGCGGCTCGCCTCAACTCGGCCTTTCCTCAGAACCTGGCCTCACTGCTGGCGGTGGGTAGGCTTGATCCGATCACCGCTATTGTCGACACAGAGGCGACAAAGTCAAGCTCGTCTGCCAGCCCATCGGCTGCTCTTCTCTCTGCGAGCAAGATGCTCCGCCAACGGAGCGTGTACGGACAGGCTGAGCGCGGACAGGCGTGGCTTAACCCGACACGGTTTGTCTCACGCCTCCAGCGGGTCTACTCGACTCGTGGGCACATCAAGGATGCGTATTGTCTCAAGTTTGACCGGTCATCGCGGCGGATTGTGACCGGTGCCGACGACAGACTGGTCAAGGTGTGGAACGCGAGGACTGGCCGACTGCTGCTCACTCTCCGCGGCGCCATCCATGACATCACCGACCTGGCATGCTCGCTCGACAACAGATTTGTGGCGGCATCGTCCAACGGCGAGGGCCTCGTCAACGACATCCGGGTGTGGGACCTGGCCACTGGCGAGGCCAAGGCTGTGCTCCTCGGCCACTCTCAGGACATCAACAGTATCGCCTTTGTCCCCTCGCCGCTTGCCGACACGTACCGTCTCGTCTCCATCTCGTCCGACGGCTCGGTGCGGATCTGGACCTCGGGTCCGGACGGCGAGTTTGCCGCCCATCCGCTGGTGGTTCTCCCCACTGGACCGGGCGCCGAGCCCATCCGCGACTCGCAGCTGATGGCGCTCGACGTCGACCCGACCGGGACTCGCTTGGCGGTCGGCAACCACCTCGGCCACGTCTTTGTCTACAACCTTGCCTCCCGCCGTCCGACCCTTCTTGCCGCGCTTCCGGCTCACGCCCACCGGATCATGTCCATCAAGTTCTCGCCACGCGGCGATGCGCTCCTCACCGCCGCCCGCAACTCAACGGCCGCCGTATGGACCGAGGATCCAGACGCGCCGGGCACCTTTGCCGTAGCCCGCTTTGGCGAAGGCCGTGGCTACGACACGATCGTCGCCGAGTGGGCTGGCCGCCACGCCTCGCTCGTCATCACCGCCACGTCAGACCACGCTGTTCGTGTCTACGACGCCACCACTGGCGCCCTGCGCCACACCCTCCGCGGCCACGAGCAGGATGCACTCGTCATCCAAGCTCACCCGACGCTTCCCAACCTGGTCGCCACTGGCGGGCAGGCGGGCGAGTCATCCTGTGGGACGTTCAGCGCGGCTCGCAGCTGACCATCTTTGAGGAGCTCGATCCCATCGACGACATCTCGTTCTCGCCCGACGGCACCTCACTCGCCGCCATCTCACTCCTTGGCGTCATTTTCTTCTACCAAGTCGGCCCCTGTCTCCGCGACTACCGCGACATTCCGCCCGAGCAGTTTACCACCGATGACTACAAGCCGCTTGTCCGTGACATCAACTCGTGGGTCCTCGACGCTGCCTCCCAGCGCCCACCACATGCTCTTCCGCCGGCACCGCGCTGCGACATGGCGGGCGTCGAGTACGATACCCAGCCGCACCCGAGCGAGCTCGTGCCGTCGCCGTCGCTCGCGCTCGCTCCCACAGACCTCGCCCGTGCAGCCGCCCGCCTCGCGGCGCTCCGAAACTACCGCGGCTCTGATGACGATGTGGCACACCGCCGCGCGGTGATCGCGACTGTCCGTGCCGCTGCAGCCGGCACGCCCTCTGCACCATCGTCCCGCAGCGGAGAGACCGACGTGCTGACCGCACCATTTACAGTTGTCGACGCTGCGGCCGCCTTTGCCGCGCTGCTGCGCAATCCGCCGCGCCGCCGGCAGCGCGCTTCACCACGCCGCTCCGCCGCCGACCGTCGTGTCACCGCCGAGGAGGAAGCCATTGCCGAGGTTGTCGCCGCGGGGCGGCGGGTCCACACCACCCGCTCAGGCCGCGTGGCACGGACCACGTTCTCGGCCGAGGAGCTCAACCGGTTCGAGGGTCTCTCCGGCTCGGGCTCGGGCTCGGGCTCAGGCTCGGGCGGGCGCGGATCACGGGCGAGCGAACCGGCGGCGGCGCG